GAAGTTCCAAGAACATTTCCTGAGTCTGAAGCAATGATGGCAAGATGCTCCCATTCCTGACACGTAATCACTTAACGTTCTGTGTGGATCTGTCAAATGTCATTATTTGACGTTGTACAAGGATTTGACGAAAAGTCCTGCAAATCCTCTTGCCTTAAAAATCAACAGCATCCCAGGACATTCCACTACATGGCATTCCAAGACAGTTCTTTTGATCTCCTTTCAGTGCACTTGCATTAAAGCCCTCGACCATTGTTTTGTTCACATGCTTTTACGAGTTGCTGTGGACAATGCTTTGATCGCAAACACCTTAAAACTTGCAGTGCCCTGGGACACTGCTACGCTTCATGAACTTTGGCGCAAAGAGATTGATGCAGCACTTTGTCAGTGTAACTGTATCACTCGGACATGCCAGGTCGTGCCAGAGAGTTAAAGACGTGTGCCTAAACGCATAGCCAAAAGTTGGGTTTGTCAGAAGTGGGACTCACACCCTTGCCTCCAGGGGAGACTGCGACCGGAACACAGCACCTTAGACCGCTCTGCCATACTGACATGCTTGTATGGCCTGAGCTGTCTCCTAGGACCCACATCGCAGCACAGTGACATGGAAGCTGGTGTGTCACAGCCTGCCCAGCTCCTGCAATCTGCCTCGTTGGCGCAGTAGGCAGCACGTCAGTCTTATAATCTGAAGGTCACATGCTTTTCCGAGTTGCTTTGAACAATGCCTTAATCGCAAATGCCTTAAAACTCGCAGTCTAAAGTGCCCATTAGGGTTGCCAGGGACACTGCTACTCTGCATGAACTTTGGCGCAAAGAGGTTGATGCAGCGCTTTGTCAGTGTCACTGTATCATTCGGACATGGCGCCTAGGGCTGTAATAATACACAATATGAAATCGAAATCGCGAATCTACGATCCTGTGTCGCGTTGTGATAAAGGAGATTCGCGACACACCCCGTGACTACCTTTCCAATAACGTCACGCGTGCCTGCAAAAGTTGAGCTAGTTAAAGAGGAACGTGAGGAAACAATTTTTTTTTCACTCGACATTACGAGCACTGCTCCATTTATGCCCTTGCAATATGCGTTTAGCCGGGAGAGCTCGCACGGAGCTCTTAGTAAGGGACCGTCTGAATGTGTCAGGAATATCAAAAACAAAATTAACGTAACCCCGCTTGACAATAGACAATGGCAGAAACATTGCCAATGCTGTCAAAGCGGCCGGATTTTCACAGCATATACGATGCTTTGCTCACACTGTTAATGTGGCTGCACAGAGAGGGATGGGCGTTCACCAGATGTCCCGACTCCACAGAGTAAGGAAAGTTGTCACGTTTTTCACTGCAATGTTGAAATGATGGTGTTTCTGAAGAATTTTCAACTTTTTGGTTTTCTTGAGAGAAATAAGTTGTTTATTTGTTAAATGTTTACTTGACTTGTGGTTTGAAGCACAGGCATTAAGCCTCAGTGTGAAACAGTAGCCTAAAGGTAAGTGAATTATAACAGCGCAAACTTTTCTGTAACCGTGCTTTGCGATTTCTGTTTGACCCTTTGGGAGTGCTGACTGACAGGTGAGTGATGCGTGAGGTCAGGAAACACGACGAAGCTTTCAGTTAAGATGAACACAGTTTCTATCGTTATACTTTATTTAGAGATAAAGGTAAATGGCTCTGCATATAATCACTCTATCTTGCTGGAGTTTATAGCAGTTTCGCTTTACTTCAGGACGCATTAATGCCGCTCTGAAGGTCTAATCGCTGTTTTAAGTTATCCAGAGCTGTATGAATGTACAAATCTTGAATATCACGATATTATTAAATATTACAATTGTAACAACACAGACAGCAACACCTTAGCACAATCGATAACCAGCTGATTCAGTCGTTTCATAAGAGGACCGTGCTTCTTCTTTTTTCCTTGTCAACATAAAGGCAGAGAGGTGCGCCTTGTTTTCGGCCCCTTGTTCAACTGCAAGGCATACTTAATTTGCGGGACGATAACGTATAACCCGTGCCTACAGACACATTGCCAAAGAAGCAAAATAGAAGTAGAATATTGCTGTTTGATACAGACGTGTTGATGCTAAACCAGCACTGATGTTGACCTGGATCTGTAATAAACGCAACAAATAGGCTTTACTTTTTATTTTACAACTTATAAAGCATGTATGCACATTGATGCAATATCATATTTAAACAACAAAACTGTTTACAAAAAGTCAACATATGCGCGCGTTGTTGTTGTCTTTTCATCACGCAGCACGCGCACTTGAACCGCGAGGGAGAGAGAGGAAACCATATAGCAAGACATATTCTTTAAAATAATGATTTCTATTAAAAATGTAAAAGGTTTTGTGATTACAATAATAACAGCGGGGCATTAAATAAATGCATATTTTCCGTGAAGCGGGCAATTTGAGGAAGTCAGCTATTTTTATTTGACGGAAGAAAAAAACATATGATTGGAAAAAAACAGCCTATGCCGGTTATTAAAAAGAATCAGTCAGTACTTTTGTTTTGTAATATAAATTAATTATTTAATTGAAAATAATTTAGGGCATTCCTATTTATTTTATTCATTTTATTTAGATTATTCTGCTCTTCTGTGCTAAACACTGCAGGTGCATGAAGATGCTCTGTTGTTCTGTTCTGTTATTAATATGCTAGCATTTAAAAATAAATCTGTATTTTAAAATGCAATATTTAATGTGTCAGACACAAAAAAGACAAGTCAATTTGTTTAATATAAAATTAATAGTAATCTGACCAGTTAAACCTTAATAAGCGATTAATGAGCGGCGGTTGTCAGTTAACAAAATTAACGAAATGAGCATCCCTAGTGGCCATTTATTTAGTTTTTCTATGTAAGAGAACTTGATTGAAAAAGAATTTTCAACATGCTTGAACCATCTACACAATGGAGTTTAGTTCTGTTTGGTTTTTCAACAGTATTTTGTTACAAAGAAAACAAAAGTGATATAGCTTTGGCTATTTTTTTATTTTATATATTACTATTTATATTGTTAATAATTTGCATAGTTAATATTGTTTTTTGATGTTCAGTTTATAAAGATTTTTCAAATGTTATTTAATAAAAAATTTTTTTGAAAATCTTTTTTCCCACCCCACACGGAAAAAAAAAAATTGTGATACGAACCGAATCGTGGGTCAAAAATCGTGATACAAACCGAATCGTGGGTTTGGTGTATCGTTACAGCCCTATTGATTAGAGTAATTAAATGGTTTAAAGTTATTTGAAAGGTTGAAACAAAATCTGTTATCTTGTTATTTTTAAATCAACAGGAGCAGTTTAAATCAAGATTGGCAAATTTGCATCAACATCACCAAGACTGCTTTAACCGCTTTAACGAAGCAGAAAGTGAATTAAGACAAAAGACTTGCCCACAAAAATCAAAGCATTGTGAGTATTTAACCTAATTAATATATCATTATTTAAACCTACCACAAACTGCCATTTGGAGGTTTAATGGTGCATTTTCTTTTGATTTTTATATATTCATTTTAATCTTCATACTCTCCTGAACAGCGTTCATCACCTGCAACAGCAACACTCACATCATCTCCATCCTGTCCTGAGCAACCTACATCATGTGCAACTGCAACACTCATGACATCTTCATACTCTCCTGAGCAGCGTTTATCACCTGCAACAGCAACACTCAAAACATTCTGTTCAGCAAAGAGTCTATAATGAATTCTGTTTTGATTCTCCTTTTACTCTTACTTCATAAAAACATTTTACTACATGAAAAAAAAAAAAAAAGTTAACGGTACAATATTTCCATTGTGTTTTATTTGTTCTGGTCAGTGTATACATAATGCAACTTTGAAAATAGGTAATTACTGATTTATATTTAACCCATTTAATTAACTTTTTATAGTTTTTTTGTGATTGGCTAAAACATTCATTTAGATTTGGAAGTTTTGAGTGATTAAGGCAGACATTTTAAATATGCAAGCTTTTATTGAGCAATGTTGTTCTATAGATTTTAGATATTTCTTTAGGTAGTTTTGCCCAGATTAGTTTTGAATTAGGAAACTCAAGGTATCAGCACCAAATTATCTACTAATGAACGGGTCTGGATTGGATCCGGATAAGCTACTTCATCAATGGGTTCGGGTCTAGATTGGATCCGGGCCGGATGAGCTAGTCTATCAGCGGGTCTGGATCGGATCTGCGCCGGATGAGCTACTCTATCAGCGGGTCTGGATTGGATCCGAGCTGGATGAGCTACTCTATTAATGGGTCCGGATCGGTTCCGGATGAAGAGCTTTATTAGCGGATACGGGTAACGTCTGAAATGGGTCCGGAACGGATACAGAATTCTTATCCGTTCCGGATCCGTTGCGCTGTGCAAGTAGACTCCAGTACAGACCCATTTGCGGACCCGTTTCTGTTGCGGATCATGTAATACCTCCGGCGCGGATCTGTTCCGGAGTCATTTTGATATCTGGAAAACCTTTAGGCAGCAGTAAGCCTCACAAATACTTAAAATTGATTGACTTAAACTGCTTGAACTTTATTAAAACTGTTAGCACTAATATATTGTGTTAACTACACTTTGTTCATTTTGTGCTTTTGTTCCTTTGTTTATTGGTCTTAAAGATAAGCCTGCTGTGAAAAAATAGTTTCTCTGAGATTATGTGTTATGTAATCTTGTTAAAATTTATTTCTTAAAATAAAAGTATAGAAAAAAGTATCGTTCGAAACCGGTATCGAATTCAGGGTATCGGTATCGAACACTTTAGAACAATACACAGCCCTAGTCAAGTGATGTGATTTTGCAGGTCAGAGTTCACCAAGCTTGAACTTTGCAACGCAGTGAACTGCGAAACTTGATGCACAAACTTGGTTTCCGGTCTGACGCATTCACGTGCGTATGAATGGAAGTCTATGGGGGGAAAAGTCCAGTGTGACCGCAGCTTAAGTGCAAGTGAATAGTTTCTCTCCAGTGTGGCTCACCATGTGTAAATTAAAGGACGATGATCGGCTGAAACTCTTCCCACACTGAGGGCATGTGAATGGTTTCTCTCCAGTGTGGATACTCATGTGTCTATTAAAGTTTGATGATTGGCTGAAACTCTTCCCACAGTGAGTGCATGTGAATGGTTTCTCTCCAGTGTGGATCTTCATGTGTTGATTAAAATTTGATGATTGGCTGAAACTCTTCCCACACTGAGAGCATGTGAATGGTTTCTCTCCAGTGTGGATCCTCATGTGTTTATTAAAGTTTGATGATTGGCTGAAACTCTTCCCACAGTGAGTGCATGTGAATGGTTTCTCTCCAGTGTGGATCCTCATGTGTTTATTAAAGTTTGATGATTGGCTGAAACTCTTCCCACAGTAAGTGCATGTGAATGGTTTCTCTCCAGTGTGGATCCTCATGTGATGATTAAAGTGTGCTAATTGGCTGAAACTATTCCCACACTGAGTGCAAGTAAATGGTTTCTCTCCAGTGTGGATACTTATGTGTTGATTAAGGTGTGATGAGCAGCTGAAACTCTTCCCACACTGAGTGCATGTGAACGGTTTCTCTCCAGTGTGGATCCTCATGTGAATCTTAAGAATGTCTTTTCTTCCAAAACTCTTTCCACACTGAGTGCAGGTGAAACAATTATTGTCTCTCCTTTTAAAATCAGTCTGTAAATGAGTTTTTTCCTCAATTTTGACATGATGTTCCTCCTCTTTACTCCTCTCCTTCTCTTCAATTAGGTCTGAAAAAAAATAAAAAAAAACATTAGTTTTCATTAAGTCTTAAAAACTCTCATCAAAAGCTGAAAAGTGAAAAGACACTGGAAACGTTCGAGGTGACAGAAGTTACCCTTCGTTCCCCAAGGAGGGGAACGGAAGTGCTATAAGTGGATTTGATCTTGGGAAAATCCTCGAAATGGGAGGATTCGGTTCAGAAGCCGCTTGTCTGAAAGTGTATTGAACGGGCCAATGAAAGCAATGAATTGGCAGCGTAAGCTTGCGCAGGTGTGCTTCATTGCCAATTATCCCAGCATATAAGCACACCTGGAGCGAGCAAACGCCATCCTTTTAAGCTGAAGAGACTTTCTAACAGCTAAGGGACAGTCGTTATGGCGACGGAGTATAGGACTTCCGTTCCCCTCCTCGGGGAACGAAGTTTTACTTCTGTAACCTCGAATGTTCCCTGGCGGTTGGGGAACTTCAGTGCTATACAGTGGATTTGGTCTTTGGGAAAATCCACGTATGGGAGAACTATGAAAAACGCCATAATGACTGCACCTTTTCAACGCCCCCGATGAGGGGATAGTCAAGCAAGCGTGACGCACCCACATCATGGGAGGCGCGGTCTTCCAACGTGTCCCTGGCCCTAATTTATCTCCCTTCAACAGAAATTTTACGGATTTAGATATATTTTTTGGGAAGTCGTGTGCGTCTAGATGATTCTAGGAAAATACGACAGTACGTTGGGAAGCGTGCAATCCCGATAGGGAGGATGCTGCGGAGGCTATCCGCTACCCAAGGGGGGAGATAAAATGGCAGAATTACATATGGACTAGCCCTAAGAAGGGGGAGTGTGCATAGACAAAGAGGTTAGCGGAGAGGGAAGACACGGGTCCACCCAGAGGGGGGACTTAACCGTGGCGGAATAAGCATAGTCACCTAGCGGGGATCACACATAGCAGACACCTATACCCAAGATGCGGGCTGACCAGCGGGCAGACCAACAACGTAGTGGGCCAGCAAGTGACTCCTCTGCTGAGTCAGTGCTGGGGTCCACGGAGGAATCTGCAGGGCTCACCTGACGGGGAACTTTACTGACAGATAAAAGGGCACACGTATCTACGTGTTAGGGACAATGGCGCAGCAAGCGTGTTTCAACACCCTACTGAGTTGTTTCCTCAATCACCAAAGGGTTGCCTAATACCCTTGAGGAAACCGGCTCCACTCGCAGATTGTAAAACCTTGCAAATGTGTTGGGTGTCGCCCAGCCCGCAGCTCTACAAATGTCTGTTAGAGAGGCGCCGCGTGCACAAGCCCAAGAGGATGCAACGCGCCGAGTGGAGTGTGCACGCACTCCCGGGGGACACGGCTCACCTCTGCTCGAATAAGCGAGTGAAATGGCATCCAAAATCCAGTGGGATAATCTTTGTTTCGATACGGCACTTCCCTGCTGCCGACCGCCATAACAGACAAAGAGCTGCTCAGATGATCTAAAGTGCTAAGTACGGTCCACATAAATGTGCAGCGCGTGAACTGGACACAGTAAGGAAAGGGCTGGGTCTGCCTCCTCCGGGGGCAGCGCTTGCAGGTTCACTACCTGATCTCTAAAGGGGGTGGTAGGAACCTTGGGCACATAACCCGGGCGGGGTCTCAGGATAACGTGAGAGTAATCCGGCCCGAATTCCAGGCACGAGTCACTGACCGAAAATGCCTCCAGGTCCTCGACCCTCTTGATGGAGGCCAACGCGACCAGCAGAGCTGTCTTCAGTGACAGAAATCTTAGAGATACTGAATCGAGTGGCTCAAAGGGATCTGCTCGTAAACTTGTGAGAACGAGGGCGAGATCCCAAGAGGGCATGAGAGGGGGCGGGATGGATTAATTCGCCTAGCACCTCTGAGGAACCGGATGATTAGGTTGTGCTTTCCCACGGTGCCGCCAGCTACCGTGTTATGATAAGCGGAGATGGCCGCCACGTAAACCTTGAGAGTGGAGGGCGACAGCCTGCTGTCCAGCTTCTCTTGGAGAAAAGAGAGCACAACACTGATCTGGCAATTTCTGAGGTTTTCTCTGCGAGAGACACACCATGTAGTGAATAGACTTCGATTCAGGGCGTAGGGGCACCTCGTGGAGGGGGCACTAGCCTGAGTGATGGTATTAACCACGGCACTCGGTAGGTTACCCAAGTCTTCCTCACGTCTAGGGACTACACGTGGAGGTTCCAAAGATCGGGGCAAGGGTGCCAGATGGTGCCCTGTCGGCTAACAGCTGCCTGCTTTCGAGGTGTACGGCGCGCCCGGGGGCGGGGCAGCACTCGTTGACGGGCGCCCTCGGCGAGGAACAGCGGAGGTGGATGGCTCGGCGGGCGGAGCGGGCTTACGACCGCGCCGACAGATGACATTACCCATCGCATCTGACTGCTCTTTCACCGCCGGTGTCGCCGAACAGGCCAGCCTGGGATATGGGCGAGTCAAGAAAGCGAACTTTGTCAAAATTGCGCATATCGGCCAGGTCTAGCCAGAGGTGGCGTTCCTGAACCACAAGTGTAAACATCGTCCATCCCCAGTGCACACGCGGCGGACTTAGTAGTCCGAAGAGCATAGTCGGTTGTGGTGCGCAGCTCATGTAGTAAGCCTGGGTTAGACCCGCCCTCGTGCAGCTCGGCCAGCGCCTGCGCTTGGTAGCGCTGGTAGGTGGCCATCGCGTGCAAGGCGGAAGCAGCCTGGCCCGCAGCCTTATAAGCTCTGGCTCCGAGGGAGGCAGACAACCTACAGGCTTTGGACAGGAGACGGGGCGGACCCCGCCACGTAGGGGCGCCACGCGGACAAAGATTGACCGTGATAGCGCGTTCCACTGACGGGACGCCTCATACCCCCTGGCAGCTCCGCCGTCAAGGGCGGTGAGGGCGGAGGGACACGCAGCATGGGCTGAGAAAGTTGCCCTCCAAGACTGCGTGAGCCTACTGTGCACTTCCAGGAAGAAGGGGACCAGAGGCTTCGAAGGCTTCGCCTTCTGGTCCTCCACGTAGCACCCATCTAGTCGGTCCGGCCGTGGAGATGGGGGATGGACCAGCTCCAACCCCACGGCCGAAGCAGCCCGGGAAAGCACGGCTAACATGTCCGCTTCAGGATCCATTTTGACGGCGCTCACCTGCCCGTAGGCGATCTTAGTTGTGCAACGGTCATGGCATAGCAGTGACGACATGAACTGCCCGCGAGCACCACATTAACATGCTGGACCCCCAAACATGTAATGCAGTGATCGTGTCCATCATCCGGAGCCAGGAAACCCCGGCAACCAGAAACGCACAGTCGGAGCGCCATCCTGAAAAGGACGTGCTGCATGACTGTGTTGCTCTTTTAGGAAAGTTTGCAACAATACGCACCGCTCTGGAGGACCGGACCCAGCTCGACCGTCTGCCGCCGCGAAAACCCACTCTGTACCGGGAGACACTCGTTCGCTCTGAAGTCGCTGAACCAGCAAGAGGAACCCTCATCGACTCGATCAGAAAGTCTCTGAAGCGAAAAGGATGGCGTTTGCTCGCTCCAGGTGTGCTTATATCCTGGGATAATTGGCAATGAAGCACTCCTGCGCAAGCTTACGCTGCCAATTCATTGCTTTCATTGGCCCGTTCAATACTCTTTCAGACAAGCGGCTTTTGAACCGAATCCTCCCATACGTGGATTTTCCCAAGATCAAATCCACTTATAGCACTGAAGTTCCCCGACCGAAGGGGAACATTGGCTACACACACTGTAATTTTGATGCATATTAATGTAAAATAAATCAAATATTTTGTTCGGTCTATTAACGTGTACACATTTAAGCATATTCAATTCATCTTTATTTATCTAGTGCTTTTATAAGTTAAACTGTGTCAAAGCCGCTTAACATAGAAGTTTTAGTAAATTGAAACTGTCTGTCCAGTTTTCAGAGTTTTTACATAATTGATTATAAAAGTCATTTTGGTCACATTGATAAGACACAGATTTGAAAGCTGTAAATGCCCTGTTTTTTACTTGTATATATTCATAATTACAACAAAATGTTTTTTCTAAAATTTGTAATGTTGACAAGAAAACTTATTCATTCTGTGCTTGACTGGTAAACGCATCAGAAAAAAAAAAAAAGTTCGGGGGTAACAGCTAAACAAACTGCTGAATATTTGCCTCGCAGACATGAGACATACCTGTACAGCATCTACATAAAGGCTGGAATGTGCACCTTTCCCCCCTTGTGTGCTGTTGGGTTCATCCATTCTGGGGTGATTTTAAGGCTTAATTTGGCCAAAACTTTCTGTGTTTCAGCAAAAGGACTGATATTTGGGGACATCTTATTTTGGACATATATTGGGAAAATGCTTTGAAAAAAAAAAAACTCAGTACACTCTGTATATTGCAAAGCCATGACCGCAAATAATCATGCATTTATGATTGTTGGTGTTTTCTGTGATGACAGTCAACATTGTTTAATTGGTCTCCACCCATGGGACGGCAGAAAGGAAATGGGTGAGAGTATAAAGGAAGAGGAGAGTTGAAGAGGGCAGCATTATGTGGTGTGTGGAAGAAAGTGTGCTGTTCTGAAATCATTAGCATTTTTTTTTCATTTGAATTATAAGTGCTGAAAGTTTTGTATGGAAGTTTTTTCCTAACAAAATTAAAATGAAAATTCAAATGCTTAAAAGATCAAATGATAAATCAAATACTCAAACTATAAATCAAATCCTCAAACTGACATCGCAAATGATAAATCAAATCCTCAAACTGACATCGTAAATGGTGAATCAAAATGCTCAAACTATAAATCAAATCCTTAAACCGACATCGCAAATGGTGAATCAAATGCTCAAACAACTCCGCAAATGGTGAATCAAATCCTCAAACAGACATCGCAAATGATAAATCAAATGCAATTGAGGTGTCAATCAACCAGCATAGGCGGAGCTTTAAGGCGGAAGAGTTTGTTGTTGACAACTACCGGTAGCTCTATGACTTTTTCAAGGAGTTCAGATTTGGGTGCTGT